AGGCATTTCATGCTGCAGACCCCAAATTCCGATTTCAGGGCCAAAAGAGGCCAAGTTGGCCAGACACAGGGAAAGGTCAAGTCCAACCGGCTATGTATCACCCGCGGGGCCGCTGACCGCGTGCGGTCGGGATCATGACCGCCAGGGCCGACCGCATGCGGTCGATTGCGGCTGCGAACCCCCGGTATTTTTAATTCGTAGGAAAATAGTGCAATGATCCTCGCAAGATTCAACTCAAAATACAACATGCAATTGAGAACATTAAGATGACGTTCACACAAGCTTGAGCGGTGTCCATGAACAGTGCAAATTCGAAGTTCCACTCAAGGCACAATAATATACACTTGAAAAAGTTCGGGAATAAGCGGTTTCAACCGCTGCAACACTCCTCTGGTATGTACCTCACTCCCTCCTGTTTTTTTCTTCTTTTCTCTCTCACTCTCTCTCTCTCTCTACTCTACTTCTCTCTCTCCTTCACTTGCACTGTTCCTCGCTCATTGTTCCTCACTCACTGTTCCTCTCTCTACAATGTCCCAGATCTACCCTGAATGCCTCTGCGGTGTGTCTCACTGCAACGGGCGGTTACGGCCGCCAACCACTTTGTCTCCTCCCTCCTGGCTATGGTGGTCTGTTGCAGCCAGGGTGCTGGTCTTCTTCCTCCCTTYAGCGTTCTTCTTCGTCCAGGTCGCTAGTCTGCACAAGCTCCCAGCAGCGCTTCCACAAATTTGCGAAATGAACAACTGACCCCCCCGACACTGTAGTCCAAGACATATAGTTGTAGTGGACTATTTCGTGCCTGCTTCAATCCGTACTGGCCTCCTTCAGCCTTTGCCTTGCCAATTGCTATTTTGGGAAATTTCCCGACCTTCTTGTGAGGCTGCTGCAAAAGTTTACTTTTGGGGACTTGAAGTGCTCCTATTGGTACTGTACGGTACTGTAGCGTACCGACCTACAGTGTCTGATCCTACAGGCCCTAAGACTCTAAACAATTGGGGCCTGGACTGTGGTAACTAGGGACCCTAGAACTGGGACTGGGAAAGCTTACAGCGTGAATCCATTCACTCCCGCCGGCCTAATTTCGAGGTCCTCCGAGAAAAATCAGAACTTCAACGGTCACAGATGTTCAATCCTCGGCGTGCCCGCTCATAATATGACACGATATGAGGGGCTGTATGAACTAACGCATCCCTGGTGAACCAGCGATTTTCACTGGGATCCTGATAAGCAAATCTGACCTTGTATTGTCTCTGTGGTCTCCCTCTACGGCCTGTACGGAAGGTATCCTCAGCTACAATCTTCTCTACATCATATCTTCCATCCATATCAGGTGGAATCATAGATCTGCGTGAGGGGAATGCATCATTAGTCACAGAGGGAAGGAGCTTAGAAGCGTGAAAAATGGGATAGGTGTGCAGATGGGGTGGAATCTCGATGGTGTATGACGGTCCATCTGCGTCACCTTTGACATCTAGCACTTGCCACGGCCCTCTGTAGGCAGGTAGCAATTTCTGCGAAATCCCTTCCTCGGGAATAAACTCCTTAGACTTTACCCAGACGAGATCACCTATCGCAAACTGTGAAGGACGACGGTGCTTGTTCGCCTGTTCCATCATCTGATGCTGGGCCTTCCTGATGTTCTCAGCCACATGTTGCAAATCCTTCTCATACTGAATGGCAAACTCACGTGTGCCAGGTGGCAACCTTTGGATCTGATCCGGATTCATACAGTCTATGGGACGTCGGGGACTCCAGCCTCTATGTAGCTCATTCGGGGTCCGCGAGGTAGCTAGGTGAACTGAGTTATTATATGCACTAGCTACTTTGGGAAGATGCTCATCCCAATCTACCTGGTCTGGTCTTATATACATACGCAGTACTTGCTGTAGGACCTTGTTCATCTGCTCAGTCTGGCCATTTGTCTCAGGGTGGCGTGCAGATGACATAGCTAACTTAGATCCGTAGACCTTCATCAACAGCTGCCACCGTTCCCCTGTAAACCGGGTATCTCAGTCACTAACTATGCTCAACGGGTGACCGTAATCCTTGACCCAATGATTAAAGAACTCCTTGATGACCAGATCTGTCTTTGTTTCAGCAGGTAATGGTACAAAAACGGCAAACTTACTAAACCTGTCAACTATGACCATGACTTGACTCTTCCCACTACTACTCTTGACCTTAGTGTCCATAAAATCGATAGATACAGATTCACCGGGGCCGGATGGAATAGGCAGGGGCTTCAACAGTCCAAGGGGAGGCTGCGTGGAACTCTTGTTCCTCTGGCAGACTTGGCAGCCTTGGATGTAGGTGATGCAATCATGCTTCATACCTGGCCACGTGTAGGATCTAAGTAGGGTAGCATAGGTCTTCCGCCAACCAAAGTGACATTCAGTATCCTGGCATTCCCCTAGGATCAAACTGCGTACCTCTTCACTACACGGTATGCAAAGCCTATCATGCACATCAGTCTTTTCAAACAGCAATCCATCAGCCATTCTGAAATCAGGCACTTCTTGAGGTGTGGTCTGCACCTTCTTTATCAACGTACTATACACGGGGTCATCAACATATGCAGCCTTAATCTTTTGCTGCAGATCTGCGCCAGCATCTAGGTAAGTCACAATTACACCAAAGAAATCTGCACGTCTACTCAATGCATCAGCGACGACGTTGTACTTACCCTTGACAGGTTTCAACTCAAAATCAAACTGATCAATTTCCCCAGCCCACCTAGTCAACTTAGGAGACATCCGGGCCTGGGTCTTCAACCAATGCAAAGTCTCATGATCTGAATACACCTTGAAGTGTCGCCCTAGCAGGTAATGCCGCCAATGGTCCAGTGCCTGTCGAAGGGCGAAGAGCTCACGTTCATAAGTTGAGGCTGCTACCTTATCACTAGGGAGCCTACAAGACATAAACTCAACGGGCCTGTACCCCTCTCCATCGTTCTGTTGGAGAACAGCACCAATGCCATACTGGCTAGCATCGGTAGTTACAACAAACGGTAAGGATGGATCTGCTACTTTGAGGACCGGGTACTCGATGAGGGACTTCTTCAACTTCTTGAAGGCTGATGTACAGTCCTTATCCCAATTCCAAACGGTTTCCTTCCGCAGCAGCCTGCGCAAGGGAGCAGCAATGAAAGTGAAGTTACGAACGAACTTCCGGTAGTAGTTGGCCAATCCTAAGAACGACCGCAACTCAGTCAGCGTGTGCGGGGTTGGCCAGTCACGAATTGCTGCTATCTTGGTGTCCTCCGGTCTGACTCCATCTCCATCTACCACGTGTCCCAAATACAGGACTTGGCGTTTAGCCCACTCACACTTCTTCGGGTTGATCTTGAAGTTAGACTCACGCAACTTAGTCAAGATCTGACGCAGATGAGTCTGATGCTCCTCCAGACTCTTGCTAAAAATCAGAATATCATCTAAATAAACAACAACAAATTTATCCAACCAATCTCTAAACAAATCATTCATGCATCTTTGGAATGTTGCAGGGGCATTAGTCAATCCGAACGGCATCACTACAAACTCGTAGTGTCCATAGCGAGTCCTAAAGGCCGTCTTGTGCTGGTCCTCCGGCTGTACCTCAATCTGGTGGTACCCGGACTTCAGATCAATCTTGGAGAAATACTTACATCCCTACACCCTGTCTAACAAATCATCAATCCGGGGCAACGGTTCAGCATTCTTAATCGTGATAGCATTCAATCCCCGGTAATCAATGCACAATCGCAGTTCACCCTCTTTCTTTGGCACGAACAAAACCGGTGCACCATACGGTGATGAACTGGGCTTCACCCACCCCTTCTCAATCACTCATCTAGCTGCCTGCGCAGTTCATCAAGTTCCTTTGGAGACATCCTATAAACCGGGCCCCTGGGAATCTTGCTACCGGGTTCTATCTCAATCCGGTGCTTGATCTCCCGCTTTACCACTCCACTCGGGGCTTCTCCCACATCAGCAAACTCTTGCAGCAGGTGCTCCACTTGGGGTGGTGTCTTCTCTTTGCCTTTACTTCCTTCACTCACTGGTTTCACATAGGCCACAAATACCTGATCTTCCAGCTTCTCCTTTGTCACGTGCCGGGCGAACGCAGGGGCACTCATACAGCAAACAAACAAGTGGGACTCTAGACCGGACTCATGGAACAACCTTATCTTCTTCTTGCCCCGGGTGGGGCTGGTCAGCCAGCACTCATGCTCGCCCAACTTGACATCTGCCATGGCTGCTTCTCCCCAGTCAGTCCCTAAAATCAGATCAAAGGGAAGGTTGTCCTCCTCTAAGAGGGTAAGGAAATGCAGAACCTTCTCTACCTTCTTTCCCTCCTCTAACCGGAAGTATGCCTTGATCCCCTCGACATATTCCTCGACTCGCATCTCGCGATTATCAGCCAGTCTACTCACTACCGGCTCACTCAACCTTTGCACCTTCATTCCTAATTGCAACTTCTTCAGTCCTCTTCTACTAATGAAACTACGCGTAGAGCCACTATCCACTAAAGCTCCCTCTCGCGTTTGGCTAATCTCTACATCTGCCAAAATCAGTTGCCCTCTTCTCTTCTTCATTTCAGCCCAGACGGGGCGACGAGTGATCAGCTCATCACCAATGCCTGCGAGAGAGCCACCTAGAGAGACCCTAGCACAAGCAGTCTCCGGACAACTATCTAGGTGGGGGCCTACATCAGCCTCTGCCGTCGGGGTCCTCGGGTTGGAGGTTTCTCTTGCAGCGCGCGCTTCTTGTGATGTACCCAAGGCCCCAGCAGGAGCAGCTGCCACTCCTACCGGCTGTTGCCTTTTGACGGCGACTGGATCTCAGGGCACCAAGGGATTATTGGCCTGCCTCTCCACATTTGATGCAGGTCCCCTCTTTGAGTCTCTTGGCCCACAATTCGTATGTCATGTTCAATTCCTTCCATGGTTCCCCCTCTGGACGTCCAGGGTGCCACGGATAATTGCGCGGTGCCCTTCCTTTGCCGCCTGCATTGCCATTGTTGGCGAGGTTGTAATTTCCTCTACCCCCGCCTTGATGTTGGGGGGCTCAGCCGGTGCTACCTTGTGGGGGTCCATAACCCCTACCTCCCTCTGCACAGCCTCCATTGCTGCACTCCCCCTGATAGCCACGTCCTCTTCCACCCCAACCACGGCCTCCTCTACCTCGGCCGCCTCTTCCTCCTCGTCCTCCCCCGCGGACTACAGCAGCGAAATCACCTCCCTGGACTTCACCACTGCCCTCATCCAATCCATACTCAATTTGATCATAAGTTAGGGCCTCACAACCTCCTTCTTCAAACGTCACTACTAGGTTGTCCTTGCCCGTAATACTTCCCGCAATAGTCTTACCTTTCCAATGCTTTCCTTTCTCCAAGTCTTTGTACCAATGACAGTTTGCTTCTTGGAGAAATCCAGCCTGATCCACCGCCATCTTGCTAAATTGGTCGTAGGTCATTCCATCCTCCTTGACCTTAGCATAGAGGTTGCTCTTGATGGGATCGGGGAGAGCTCTGGCAAAGTTGTTCAGAATTTGCTCAGGAGTCAGTCCATGATCTGGGGTCTGTAACAGCTCATCCATCGTGGCCTTCAAGGCCGACACACTCTTCCATTTTCGGAGATGGATGTTGTTAAGCTTGTCAGCGGTCCTCATGGCTTTAGTCTTGTCTTCGAAGCGGTTGGGCAGCGCATCTAGGAAGGTACGGAGAGCGGTTCTCTTCGAGTAAGCCACCATATCATGACCGCAGCCTGCTGCGTTAGCCAGCGACAATGCGAAATCCGCAGGAGCGCCTCCTAGACACGAATGAGCCATCAGAACTTTGTCTTCCTCCGGGATACATTGGGCGTACGCGTACGATTGGACTGTCGACTCCCAACGATCAAAATTTTCCTCTTTCTTCCCAAAATACGTGTCAGGGAGCTTCACTTTGATCTTCTCCCTCTTGATCGGCTCTCCTCCTCCCACGACCTTTCCACTTCCGCTCAAGGCCCTCTCTTCGGTGATGGTACGGGCTATCTTCTTTGCAGCCAGCTCCTCTATCTGGACTGCGTATGTGGCTGTCCTCTCATTGATCCTGTTGAAGGCAGCCACTGCAAAATGCTCCCACTTGCCCTTCATCTCTTCCTGCACCGCCTCCATCCTCTCAACGGTTCTTCGGAGCGCAGCAGTCTCCCGTGTGGAATGGAGCACGGCGTCTGTGAGGAGGGTGAGTCTTTTGTCAGTGTCTTCTGGTTGTTCTTTTTGTGCTTCCAGCCTCGCAACGCTTCTCCCTCCTCCTTCAATCTCTTCTTCTCTCCATATTCTCTCCTTTTCTGTGCGGCCAGCCTTGTTTTGATCAGCGTCTCCCTCTCTTCTATCATTATTGCCCACTCCTCTTCATCAACCAGCTGCAGCTGCGCTTCAAATGCCTCGATTTCCTCCTTCGTTTCATCTTCAGGCCGCTCCGGCTCAAAGTCAAAATGAGCGGCCCAAATTGCAGCATCCTCTTGATCCAATTTCAGGGCGGACTCATAACTGCATCCTGCTTCTTCTGCCCTGGGAAGCACGTACTCCACCATACCCTGTTCTCCGGCTTGCACACACAACTCCAACTTCTCCTCTTCTTCTTCAATCTTTTTCTTTTCTTCTTCCAGCTGCTTCCGCATCTCTTCTTCTATCTTCCGCTTCTCTTCCTCCATCTTCTTCTTCAACTCTTCCTCCATCTTCTTTGCTTTCTCCTCCTTCTTCTCTTTCAATCGCCGATCTATTTTCGCCTGTTCCTCCGCTGTGTATGGCTTAGTGACTTTGCCGGACTTTGTGACCACGGTCATCCTAGTGGTCCGGTGGAATCCCAACGGAAAAATTAATTGCAAAAGGGGCCGCCATATGACGGACAGAAAGAGGAGTGCAAACATTGGGTAATCATCCATGGCGAAATATCAGTACAACGGTAAGTGTGTTCCACCTCCTCACCACGTAGACTTACCCCTCAACCTCCTAATCTCAACACTTATCTACTTGAATCGGGGTCTGACTCGAACTTGACGGGATGACGTCTACAGTACTCTACCAGCAGCAGCCATCACCAAGAAAGTACGTGGAATTTTCACAAAAAAACAGCAAAAAGATTCAACAGGCAGGGCTGAGGGCAGAAAGCACTTCACTTGAGTCTTCACGATGCCGCTCCCCACCGATCTTGGTCTGCTGCAGGTATGTAGATCCCGCTCCAATCTTAATTCAGCACCTTTTTCTTTCTTCTCGCCTGCTACAGTGAAACCCCGACACGCACTTGCCGGCTTTCTTCCACCACCGCAGTGCAACGGGTTCCAGCTCTGATACCAGTGCAATGATCCTCGCAAGATTCAACTCAAAATACAACATGCAATTGAGAACATTAAGATGACGTTCACACAAGCTTGAGCGGTGTCCATGAAC